ACTATACTAAGTGTTCAACAAAATTTTCAGTTGGGATTTCTCTTATTTAGAGCTCCTTCTAATCATCATATTTATTATTCGACGACCTTGCATTGTTGAAGACCAGCTAAGCTAATGATTCTCCTATTTATTGAAGGCGAGCCTTAGCTCATGGTTTTCTTATTATCGAAGGCGACCCGCAGCTCGTGGTTTTCTTATTATCGAAGGCGAGCCTTAGCTCGTGTCTTTCTCATTATTGAAGTCAAGCCCTGCTCCGCGTAGGCACACAAAGCCCTGCTCCGTGCAGGCACCTCAAAGCCCTGCTCCGTGCAGGCAACTCAAAGCCCTGTCCCGTGCAGGCACCACAAAGCCCTGCTTCGTGCAGGCACCTAAAGCCCTGCTCCGAGCAGGCACACCAAAGCCCTGTTAAGAGCAGGCATCACAAAGCCCTGCTCCGTGCAGGCACCTCAAAGCCCTGTCCCGTGCATGCACCACAAAGCCCTGCTTCGCGCAGGCACCTAAAGAATTGCTCCGAGCAAGCACACCAAAGCCCTGTTAAGAGCAGGCATCACAAAGCCCTGCTCCGCGCAGGCACACAAAGCCCTGCCCCGGGCAGGCACACCAAAGCCCTGTCAAGAGCAGGCACCTCAAAGCCCTGTCCCGCGCAGGCACCAAAAGCCCTGTGACAAGCAGGCACATTAAAGCCCTGCGTTGAGCAAGCACATCAAAGTCCTGCCCCAAGTAGGCACCTCAAAACCCTGCCCTGAGCAGGCACCAAAGCCCTGTCACAAGCAGGCACATCAAAAGCCTTGTCTCTCGCAAGCACCAAAGCCCTGTCCCGTGCAGGCATCTAAGTCTTGTCCCGCGCAAGCACAAAAGCCTTACCCCACGCAAGCACAAAAACCCTGTCACAAGCAGGCACCGACAAAAGCCCTGTCATGCGTAGGCAACTAAGTCTTGTCCCACGCAAGCACCTCTAAGTCTCGCAATGCATCGAGTAAACAACCGGACGATGGTCTGTCCCAAGCTTGTCAGGCTCAACCTATTATTAATTCAATGGAGCACAGCTCGAGATAGTATTTCACATTGGGCTCGGGGGCCTGTCCTCGAGCTCAACACATTGTCTACGCCCAGTCAGAAGGGCTCGGGATAATTGCTTCACATTGGGCTCATGCCTATCTTCGAGCTCAATTCTTTTTTTCAAATCCCAGCCACAAGAGCTCGGGATGGTTGTATCACGTTGAGCTCGGGGGCCTATCCTCGAGTTCAATCCATTGTCAAATCCTAAACACAAGAGCTCGGGATAAGTCTCTCACATTAGCTTGAGACTATCCTCGAGCTCAATACAATCTAATCCTAGATGCAAGGGCTCGATATAATTATTGCACATTGAGTTCGGGCTATATCTCCTATATGAATCTTTGTCCATTCGTCAAACCCATTACTTCCAAAACTTTTAACAAAGCTCGAGGTTGAGCTCGTTCTTTTCAACTTCTAAACAAGGTAGAGTCAAGCTCTTTCACATCAAGTACTGATAAAGCTTGAGGTTGAGCTCGGTCATGCCAAATTCTTTTACAAGGTCGAAGTCGAGCTCAGTTCTCTCAAAAATTTCAACAAGATCCGTGTGCTCGGGGGCCTATCGACTTGACATGAGCATGCCTATTCTTGAACTTAATATACTTATGCATCTCATGCCAGAAACTCCCATATTGCACACGAGCTCCTGACATGGATGCACGGGGGCCTATGATGTGTACGAAAATTATAGCCCGACCCCGAACTTTCAAGCATGGCCCGAGGTAAATACCTCGACCACTCTCATCTCCAAATATTCTTTAAAATGTGGTCGGGCCTCTCATAGGTAGGACCTAATAATCAGGTCCTACTAAGGTCGGGTCCACATGCCAAAATATTGTCCTCTTCTCGAGTCTCTTGCGAGTTTTAGTGCTCCTATGACTCAACTGTTTATCATTATCTAACTACTAAACGTATTACAATTCATGCCAAACCTAAAGTGGTAATTGTGATATAACTCAATCACTGTACAAGATAAAGATTACAGGTGGTTGAATCCTGATACAACTCAACCACTGACATCTATAAATACAGGACTCGGCTCCATTATTCAGGTATGTTTCTACAATACAATTACAATACATACTTTTACATAATTTCCTCGTCTGACTTAAGCATCGGAGGGGCGACGAAAGCATACCTCGTCGCCTTTGTTTCAGGTACTGGAAGGTTTCGTTCGTGCTCGACCTCAGTCCTCAATCTTGAAAAATCACAGGTACAATTTTTGGTATCATCAGATCTCAAATTGATAATCTATCAACTATAATTCAATTCACAAATTATTTAGAAATCGTTGCTTCCTTGCTGTTATTCTACACCTACTTCATCGTCGTAGTTATGGGACAATTGTCTGTAGAGAGACAGAGTGGAGATCTGAAAAGGTGGGCGGCGATGTGTTCTAGAGGGAGTTGTGTAGAGAGAGAAAGAGAGTGATAACAGAATAAGGTCGGCCTTAAATAGAGAAAATTAGTGATGGCAATTTACCCGCTCCGCCCCGAATGGAGAAAAAAACCCGCCCCATGGTGGGGCTTGGGGCGGGGCAGGGCGAGGATGCTCTGTCCCGAACCCATCCCGTGAAGAAAAAGTAAAAAAAAAAATTAAAAATAATTTTATTTCTAAACAATTCATCAGTTAAAAACTCATTTTAAATTTGTATTTTATTATCTAATAATAACATAATTCGAAACTTTCAAAATGTAAAAAATAAAAAAAATTAAACGGGGCAAAAAGTTGCCCCGTCCCCACCCCGTCTAAGGCGGGGCAGGGCATGGGACGGGACGGGGTTTTTGCCAAACGGGACGGGACGGGACGGGGCGGGTGGGGGTGCCCTGCTCCGTTGCCATCAAAATGATCTATTGTGTGTAGAGAGAGAAATCTAATAATATTATTATTAATATTAAAAGTTGAATTACTACCTGATTTTTGAATAAATAAATTTTAAATTTTATTTTTGAGATTGAGAGTTGAAAACCACGTGTAAGTGTAATTTTCTCTCTCCCGTTTTTGACTCATATACTTTTTCTATCATTATTGCAAATTTAATCAATCAAGAAGAAGAAGATAAATTACTCCGGGTGCTTCGAGAAAACAAAACAGCCCGTGGATGGACCATTGCTAATATTCGGAGTATAATTCCAGCTATTTGCATGCATAATTTTTTATAGAGGAGAATTATAAACCTTTGGTTCAACCTCGGTGCAGATTGAAACCTCATCTACAAGAAGTGGTCAAGCATGAGGTTTTCTGGTTGTACCCATGAAGTTTTTGAGTGGTGAATAATGACAACAATGAGCTCATACTGACAAGGACGATCAGGAAGATGAGTTTGTATTGATTATCACAAATTAAAAGATGCAATTCGAAAGGATCAGTTTCTTATTCCATTAATTGATCAATATTAGAGCAACTTGCAAGCTATTCCGATGATTGTTTTCTCGATGGTTATTTGAAATAGGATCAAGTATGTGTAGCTCCGGAGGATCACGATAAAACAAAATTTATCTGCGGAAAAAAATTTGAAATAGTAATTTTTGGAGAATGTGTGGTAGATAAGAAAAGAGAGAAAAATGAACTAAAATTTTAATGGAGCCCAAACACGGGATTAAATAGCATTATGGTAAATTTTCTTATCGGGGATGGCTTTTGGCTTGTACATTAATGCCCCCGTTACATTTCAACATTGCATGATGCAATTTTCTTATAAATGGTTGAAAAGTTTATTGAAGTGTTCATAAATGACTTATCAAGATTTGGGTATTCATTTGATGAATGCCTAAAAAATTTGACTATTGTTTTACAACAGTGAAAATCACTAATATTTAACTGGGAGAAGTGTCACTTCGAATTTTGTTGGGTCATCGAAATTATAAAATTTGATCCATAAAAAAAGTGCCCTTATAGGCGGGCGCACTTCAAAATCAATTATGAGAAGGCTAATTTGACTCTTCTCTAGTGGTTTTACTATTGGGACCAATTTATTTTCAGCAAAAGATTGCAATCGTAAATCGTTATCTTGAAGAACTTCAACATCTTCTAAGAATCAGAAATTCGTTTTTGAAATGATTAATTTCTTCTTTTAATTCTACTATTGTACGTTTTGCAACCTTTCTTTCATGTTCATTATTAACTCTATCAAGAATTTCTCGTAAATTATAAGTAGCTCAATTCGTTAAGGTTTTTTTTATTCTGTCGAAAATTTTAAGTAAATATTTCGATAATTATCTTTCCGAAGGTTGGTTCCTCCACTTCTTCAACCAGTTGGATGAAATATTCATGTCAAGAATAAAGAGGTTTTTGAACCTGGTGCTTCTAAGCAAGATGTGTGTAGTAGTTTTATGGTATTGTTGGGGCACGTGCACAAAAATCGAGATAACGAACAGAGATTGGATATGAAAGTTCATGATAAATATTTTTCAGGGACAAGACGACGTACGAAGAGAAGAACTACAAAATATAGAATATGAAGTACTAATTTGAGTGTTTATTTATGTTTGGTGCCTTCGGTTGCAAAAGATATACACCATTTATATTTCTGTGACATTCTTATTAAATTAATTTTATTCCTTTAATTTAGTTTTATTTATAACATATTATCTCATGTAGGTGCAGCTCGTTTAAAGAATAAGAAGTTCATACGATGAATATAGAAGAAATGAGTATAGTAAGATAGACGTTTATCTATATTATGATCTTTTACACACTAGGTTGAACTTAGTCGTCTTGAGAATATCATGGTCGTAACACCGATAACACTGATTATTAATTAATAGAAAAAAGAGAAAGTTTATCATGAAGTACTGCCTCATATGCTAAGCTTCTAATGTATGTCAACGCAAGTACATGTGCACTTGGCAAAATTCTATTTTTCTAGTAGTGTAAATTCATTCATTGTAACTTATTAAAATAAGATGCTCAATTAGGATAGATTCTTCTCATCCCAAGTCATATCACGATTCCACCAAAAATATTCGATTCTGCGACCTCATAACTCGTTGCAACTCATCAACGCTAATCTCAGAGCACGAAAATACCAACCTACTCGTTAACATTTTGTCAGGCGCCACCACATTCTGTATACTCCACCATCTACAACAATCATCGATTATTAACTCACACATCACTATTTCCTCCATCGCCAATGGATTGTAAATAAAAACAAAATTCCCGACTACACAAGCATTCACCGAAGAAATTTCTGAACTCTTGCTCTTCAGTTTGTCAACATAGACGCAAGGCATTTCACAAATTTCTTCAAATTGAAAATTTTCTCCCACAACCTTCCATATCTTCAATTGTTCAGCATTTTGATCGTCCTTGAACAAACCTACCAGAACCAAATCATCATTAGAAGTCCCAATATTGTAGTTAACAATGGGTTGTCCAGGTTTCAAACTATAGGGTTCGGACCAACATTCTATTGCCAAGTCAAACCAATAAGTCAACCCTGATTGTTTCTCCGTGACAAAGAGTTTTTCATTTGTGGTAGCAATTGAAAGGTAAATCGAAGCTGGCAAGTCTCTCAAATTTCCTGGTATGTTGTCACACATGTGCCATGCACCTGTCCGAATGTTGTAGATCTCAACGGGTAACTGATCGCTCCCATAATCACACCCGCCACCTGCGACGATTATGAAGTCTCCAACACGTGCCACAATTGGATCATTCCGCCACCCAAATGGAGGGTGCACATGACTCCAGGTGAGATTTAGAGGGTCGAACGAAAAGGATAATTTTAAAGAGGATAAGTTGTAAATAAAGTTGGAGTGAGATGATTTAAGACTTGACATGCCTTTGATCGAAGACAGACGAACCATTTTCATCCATACGTGTGAACGAGGGTCATACGCATGCATGGAGATGTTGTAAGGGTGGCGAGTAGCTTGACTGTGGAGGATGAGCCATGGCTTTGGCTTCTTGAGGTGGCGGAGAGAGGATTTCACCATGCAACACCACGACTTACACACTCTCGAGGCCGCCACCAAGTCGATGAGTGGCACGTGCGAGAATATTACTTCTAATATATCTCCATGAATTTCCTCCGGTTCATCTTCTTCTGGTTCTTGATCTTCAATTCTTGCCATTGAGCTGTTGAAAATTTTCTTTTTTGCTCTATTTCTTTACAAATTAATTAGAGATAAAGAGCATTGAATCTTGTCAAATACCATTATATCTGAGTGGGTGTGGTGGGTGTTGGTTGGGAGTGCGGGTGTTGGAGTTGGACGAGGAAATGATATATCTTTCTCTCTTTTTTTTAGGTGTTAAACTATCATTTCACTATTATAAATGAATAATGCCTGATTCCCGCATTGTAGAGGCACGTCGATGGATCCGATCTGTATTTTAAAAAAAATAAAATTACAAGGACCCCACCATATTTCTGTCTTGGCAGCCTGTGGCCTCTGCTTGTACGTGAAGCGTAGTTGATTATAAATTTCCTCACATTTATAATTTCTGGCAATCTGTTTGTTGGATAATTATTTTAATATTTATAGTGGGCTAATGTTGGCTCTGCTCTTTTTCTTTTTAAAATTATATTTAAAGTTGACAATAAAAATGTGTTTGTTGGAGAATATTTTAATATTTTGAAATTGTTAAGTTATGCATATCATTTTGATAAGTCGTATCACTATTTAATCTTTGTTATCAAGGGTGGATCTAGAATTGAATCCAAAATCGGGTTATAAAATTTCAAGTCAAGCTAATAGCTAAAAATAAAAATAAAAAACAAAAAAAAACTTACAATAAAAAAATTGTTTTTACAAAAAAAAAAAAAATTACATTTTTTATAGTTTAATTTTGGACAAATTAAAATGTCTTGGAGATGGTGGAAAGAGACGTTGTTAGGTGGTCCTTTGTCTAACCGCCAATCATTTTTTATATAAAAATTTAAGCAAACCCAAAATAATGAGAATGGAGAAAAATGGAAAATAAATCAGTTATACTACATGTATAATCGAGGTTGACAATTCCGATTGACAACCACACACATGGAAGGGAGGCTCACGCTGAATAAAAAATCGTGGATCCCCTTCTGTTAGTACGTTTTCAATCGGGATTGGAATAATTCAAAAAAGAAATAATGTGGAATCTTTCTTGTCTAATCAAATATCTTATTGTTAAATATAGCCCTTGTTTGAACCCTATTCTTGTAAAAAAAAAAAAATGTATTTTTGAATAGTGTATTGATGAAAAATGTGTGGATAAAAAAAATAAAAGTTTTAAATTTGCGTGTAATATTATTTTAATGAAAAATATATGCTTAAAATAAGTCAAATCACTGTTGAAAAATATGTTTTGATGACAATAATGGAGCTCAAACAAGAGTATAATATAATAATTAATAAATAAGGTTTACTTTAGGTCTATTAATGGGATTGACCTTTTGGAGATAGAATTGGAATGCTTAATGTGTATTAGAGCTAAAAATTTCAATTGAGCAATTTTATATGTACCTCAAAAATTAAAATGAGAAATCAAATTCTAATATAAACGTTGTTGACTCCAAAAAATATTGCCAATAGGTACCACGCACACGTGGGCGAAAGTCCAACACGCTAAGACACGTGGACAGTCTAAAATGGGCGGTTCAAAGGGCATGGGAGTATCCCAACGACGCGGGACGGTGACTTTCGGAATCCGATAGATTGTTCGTGATCCAATTGTATAATAATTACCAACCGATATTCGTAAATGGATATGTAAATGTGTATAAACTCGATTTGTGTATTGCAAGTAAAAGAGAGAGAGTTGAGTAAAGTATAGTTCTTTGTATTGATTCTTGCATTACCCTTTTGATGTTACACAAGGAAAGTATTTATAGTGATACATATGACAACACGCAACAATAGTCCCCCAAGTCTAAGTATGGTCATTTATGTAATGTGTGGACTTTAATGAAGTAAAAATTGAAAGAATTTTTGAATCCCAAATAATAGTCCACCAAGTCCAAGTATCGATATTTATATCATGGTTGGAGTTAGAGATGTGCTGCTTTAGGTGAATGATGAGGAGATCGATGCTGTGTTGAAGACGAGGTCAAGGTGGTTGAAAAATCGAACCTGCGAGGCTTGTTGGCTGAATGTTGAAGAGGAAGCCGAGGTGGTTGGGAAACCGAACCTGCGAGGCTCTGCAAGGCTTGTTGGCTGAATGTTGAAGAGGAAGCAGAGGTGGTTGGGATCCAAACCTACGAGGCTTGTTGGCTGAATGTTGAAGAGGAAGTCAAGGTGGTTGGAAAACTGAACCTGCGAGGCTTGTAGGCTGAATGTTGAAGAGGAAGTCGAGGTGGTTGGGAAACCGAACCTACGAGGCTTGTTGGCTGAATGTTGAAAAGGAAGCCAAGGCTCAATGGTAATGATTGCACATCGATAGCTGTGCCAATGATTTGATATTTTGTGCTTATTTTCGAGGAAAAGTGGCTGACCCGTTACGACTTCCAAGGTGCCTGCTGCTATCGAATTAAAAATACAATTATGAGGACAGCTGGAGGTTCTAGAAGTAGACGCGTTGGATAGGGTGTGTGGGAGGCACGCTTGAATCTGAGGCGTAGGTTTGAAAAACCATTTGAATTCAACGCCTCGGATTTGATCTACAATGGAGGGTTCAGATTGACTGAGCTTCGAACTGACGGCTGGGGTTCGTCCTGGATCTCTATAAAAGGTGAGAAAATTCTATTTTTCAGGATTTTTGAACACTTTCAATCTAATTCACTCTCAAAATCTTGAACTTTCTAGCGTCTAGGCTGCTTGTTCTTTGATTTTTCGGCCTATCTCCATTCGCGTAGTTCTTCCCTTAGGTATTATTCGCAGAAAAGCCCTTTTTGTTGTGTTAATTTTGTGAAATAGAGTCCACCTCGAGTAGGGAGCTGGTGATTGTAACGTCGTTAGATTATGGGGTCAGTCAGAGGGGGGATGCCAAGGCTGATAAATATGCCATGACAGAGGACCCAATAGATTATACCGAAGAGTGGGAGGCGTCTAGGGTGCCTTCAAGTATGACGTGGAAAAGGTTGGGGAAGATCAGGGAGAGATACAGTGTCCCCCACAGCTAGAAATGTTAGTTCTCGAGCCGAACGAGCGAGCCTACTATCTGAGGCCCGGTTGTGTGGCAGTCAGTGAATACATGTTTAAGGCAGGTATGCGTCTTCCTCTGCACCCCTTCTTTAGGGCGGTGCTGAGGAATTTTATGTCGTCGCCAACCTAGGTTCTGCCAAATGGATGGAGCCAGTTGGTCGGCTCGTACTTCCTTTGAAATGAGGTGTCGCTTGGGGAAGACATGCCTCTCCATGTATTCATGACCCTTTTCCAGCCCCGAGTCATAGGGAATGAGTCCAGGGGGCGGTATTATCTTACACCTTGGGGGGCTTACACACCCTTTGTGGTGGGACTGCCTTCCTCCATCAAGGGGTGGAAGGAGTCCTGATTCTAGGTGCAAGGAAAATGGCAGGCAGTGGAGGGGGACAAGGCCCTTTCTTGCACAGTGCCGACCCAGTACTACGAAACTCGTGAGTCTCCCAGCCCCTGCTTGTACTTCTGAATTGAACACTTGAACTTTTCTAACTGTTGGGGCTTCCATTGCAGATAGCAGTACGAGATTCGAGCTCAGCAGGAAAGAGTTCAAGGTGATAGAATACATCTACAAGAGGCCTCTGAAGCTCCGCCACTTTGACCACCTGATTGACAAGAGTCGCTACTTCCTGGATTTTGGATAATGGCTTCCAGAGGTACGAGGCTCCCATAGTTGTAAATTTCCTTGTCCTTTTGTTTGGATACTAATGTGCTGATCTGACGTGCTATGCAAATAAATTCAAGAGGAGGGAATACCCAGCTCCGGACATGGCTACAATTTTGAAGGCCGCCACCACTGTCAAGGCGAGGCCCCCGAAGTCGGGATCCAGTGGGGCTAAGGAGGTCCGAGGTACGGTGGAACGCCTTTCCAAGAATAGCACGCCAAAGGCTTCCGAAGAGAGGGCTCCCCAGAGGCAAGAGAAGCCAAAAGAGCCTCGGGAGAAAGAGAAAGTTCCTGAGGAGGAAGCTGGTGCATGTCACCAGCTCATTAGGGAAATTTGGGACATCAGTGTCCCACGAGGCTAAATCAACAGGCGAGCCGAAGCAACTCGCATCCGCCTCCAAAGCCATCAAAATAGAGATGGTCAGAGAGGTCGAGGTTGAGGAGGCTAGAGATGAGGCTAGAGAGGAGGCTGCGAGGAGAGCTGTTGAGGCTGTTGAGGAGGAGACGGCAAAACAGAAGCCTGTTCGGGAGAAGGGGAAGTCTCCAAGCTTTCTAGCCGGAAGGGAGGAAACCTTGGCCCCAGCCTTGGTGGATGCTCTTCTCCAGGAAGTCCGGAGCGCCACTGAAAACTTTTATCGATTTTGGACAGACAAATGGCAGCTGCATGCCTCCTCCTGCGATGCCACCGACCTGACGAGGGCTTTGGTGAGCCAAAGCATCAGAACCTTTGGCCTTGTTCTTGAATGTAGGGAGGCCCTGAGTGATTTCCAGACAAGGACCCAATCTTCGGAGGAGAAGACGACCTCCCTTGCAGAGGAGTTGAAGGCAGATAGGGCCGAGACGGAAGAAGCCAGGGCCCAAAAACTTGAAAAATTGGCCAAGCTGGAGTCTGTCTTGGCCTAGATTGAGGCCTTGAAGAAGGAAGTCTATGAGTCACAGTGCGAGGTGACCTCCCTGACAAAGAAGGTGAAGGTCTCCAATGAGCACTAGAAAGTGACCGCCGAGGCCCTTGAGAAGGCAAATATTTCCTTAGCGGGTGTCTAAGAGGCTTACCAGTTCTTAGAAACCCAAATCAAGTGGTATGTGGATAATGCCTCCCACGCAACAGAGGAGGCTCAATAGGCGACGGAGGAGGTAGTGCAGGAGTATGTTGCCAACTTCCATAATATGGAGGAGTTCAAGAGCTTCAGTGGTTACTGGAGAAACTTTGCCTACGCTGAAGTGATGAAGCGGGCAGGGAAACTGTATCCCAATTTCGATCGACTCAACTCAGGTTTGAATTCGTGGACGAGATACCTCAGACCCCTGCTGAGGAGGTGTAGGGTGATGAAGTGGCTGAGGTAGAGGAGATAAA